GGACAGGGTATTATTACTTTTCCGCTGGTGTACGTGGTGGCTCGTTTAAATAGTGACAGTTATAAATAATTTCATTACATTACAAGTTTTACAGTGCGGAAGTTTTTTTTTTTTTTTTTCTTTTTTCTTTGAATATTCTGCGATACTTTTATCACGACGTATTTGGAAGATTATTCTATTATAAATTAAACATCGCGTTTACGAACGATAATAAAAATCGATATTTAAACTACGTTATCGAAATATGGATCGGAAATATGATGCATTGTACATAGTCACATTGGAAAATTATATTTACCTTTTGATCGAGGCGGGTGGTTTATGTTTCGTAATAGATAAGAGCGAAACATCGATATAATTAAAAATGATGAACGTTATTTCGCGCATTCATTTTTCGATCATTCGAGACTTGTAATTAATTTCATTCGTGTAATTATCATTATTCGATCATTTTGTAATTATGTTGTATTATAATAAATATTAATCGTTATTTTCGATATTGTTGTACGCGTATATTTTATTTCTGGTATGTTATTATTTCTCAATAACAAATTCCTTCGATTAGAGAAGTTGGTCTTTCAAGTTTTTCGCATGATCGATGTTTTAATCACTCTCAACCCTCCCTTAGATTCACCGTCGTGATTTATATCGATACGTACGATTTTCGAAATTACGGATCCTTTAGCACGTTAATTGCCACTGCGTCTCGATAATGAGCACCAACAGAATTTAGCGTACTTGTTTCACCAATTTCAAAAGGTATTTCATTACGAACTCTGATAATTTTCTTCTGTAATTTTAGTGTATGTATTAAAACCGATACAGGGGATACTGATAAAAGTTAAACAATAGTTATTTCGATATTATTTCTAGAAATAATATTAGCGCGTTTTGCGTGTTTATCGATTTTAACTTTATTTAGAATGATTTTGATAATTTTTAGAGATTCTGATATTTTCTTTTTTTTTTTTTAAATTCCATTTCTCTATTTTTTCAACCAAAGGATATCTCTTTATGGGCAATTTAAAATTCAAAATGTTCTGCTATTTTCATAAAAAATATCCCTTTTTTAAAGGCAAGTAAAATATTGAAAATCATTGATTTGAAGATTATGATATTCTTTGAATCTAAATATTTGTAAACATCGAGATAGTTCGATTTTTAATTGTCTTCGATCGGGTTATTTTGAATAAACCGATAAAATTTCTTTCATTTCTTCTCTATTTTTTTTATCAACAGTAATAAAGATAGAAAAGAAGGAAAGAAAATCGAGATTCCAATCAATTTCTATTTATACGATTAATCGATGTTTAAGAGTGACAAATTTGCATATAAATGTGACGATCAATTAACGTATCAATGGCATGAAACGATGCAAATTTTATTTCATTCTCAGAAATCACCGGTGGAATACATATTTCTATGAATAATACCATTCATATTTCGTATGAACGTTTAATACTTTACTACTGGAACACGAATTGAATTAAAATACAATTAGCGTTGCAGCTTCGCGCTAATTTTATTCCTTTTCTTTTTTTTTTTTTTTTTTT